AATACAGTAGTTATAAGGCAGATAGCAAAGCTTTACAACCCCATGGAAACTTCTACTAAGGAATGAGAGAGATGAGGATAATCAGTGAAGGCATAGTGAAAACCGCAGGGCCGAGAGACACACTTGCCCTGCAGTGGCTCTTCCTGAGCACTTGTCCTTGCTTGTAACCCCTACACACCCAGAACTAAACTGGATGCCTCGATTTCCATACTGTGTTAACAGAAGCTGCTGGTTCCCTTTGAAGGGCAGCTCTGAGCAACTGAATACATGAAGATGCATACTTTTTTTTTTGTTTTCCAAAAAGTAGAGAGCACTGTGAAGCAGTGGTCCTAGTAGACATGGGCACAAAACTGGAATTGTGGTGTATAGACTATGAACTGTAGACACGGGGATAGCATGCTTTTCCCTAATGTTCTTTCCTGAGACATTTCCCCAAAATATTTTATGATGGGTATTCTTCTTGCGTAAAACTTAAAGTTTATAATTAAATTGTATAGTGATGGATTAGCATATAGTTTTTTTCTTTCAGGTAAATGAACAGACATGTCTAAATGATCTTTAAAATTTATGAATAGATTCGAATAATATTTAATGAAGAAATTATTTGTCTAAATGGTGAAAACAAGTTTTTAGGGTTTTTTTCCAGTCTACATCATTAATTTATGTATTTAACTGGACATGCCCTATATGCATATCCAGAACTATCTCCCTAATTGACTGAAGGGCTGGCTGCCCAGGGCCATCATGGTTTCCAGAGGGCAATTGTTTTGTCATTCCTTTGTGTGGCCTGCATGGAACTTAGCAGACAGTTGTAATTATTGTGAATTGCTGTAGAGACTTACTGTGTGGCGGACACAGCAGTGAGCCACATGGTGGTTGAGGAGATTTTTGCCAGGAGTTGAGGAGGGAAGTCATTGCTCTCAGCTTCCTCTGCTCCCACAGGAAAGTCTCCTACTTAGCAAGAGTAGAAGCCTGGATATTAATAGTGATTTTTATTATTTTTTCCTCATGGGTAGAGTTTGATAATATTCCTAACAACTCTTCACATTAAGTATGAAAATTGGGTTGATAATCTTAACCAGGACTGTTTTCTGGAAGGATTTGTGGCTTAATCATAGTTTAGTAAATTTATAGTAATTGCAATCTAAGTAATTATCTTGGCTACCTCTCTTTGATGACCTACCCGAATACTAAGTACAATTTATAATAATATCATAATATAAATTCACTCACAAACTATTAAATAAGAATCTCCATTCAACTTAATATGATTATTATCTGGAGAAAGTATTGCAGGTTTTAATTTGCTAATCATTAAACTTCTTTAAAGAATTGATTTCATGCACCATTAGAATGCATTTGCCTTTTATAAAATATTAAACTCACAACACCTGAGAATTATATCTGTTCATTCCTTTTATTATAAAAATTGACCTGAATAAATAAACCTATTATAGGTATATGCTCAGCCTGATTAAACTAAAATGGCAAACTATTATGGTTTTAATAGCACATGTATTATACATCTTTTTCTAATGAAGTATATAATTATACAAACCAGAATGAAGGCCATAGTACTAAAGTGCTTTCACTGATAGCTAGTTTGCTTACAAATACTTTAAAAATACAGACGTATTTCTTTGGATGCTATTCATGAAGAAAGCTCCAATCATCTCCTGCTGAAATTTCTGCAAGAAAGTTGGATACATGTGGAATCCCTATCAGTCTTAAGAGAGCCACTGGTTATGTTTTGGGAACTAGTTTGTTTGGTTGCTGTTTTATAAATTATTGTTGATAATATATTGCTATGAATATATGCAAATTTGCTAAAACTGATGTGGTTTATGAAAAATACAGACATATAGAAAAATTCACATACAAATTCATGCTTTTTTATGGGTTTGTGGTCCTTTTTTATAGCTTCTGTACTCTATTTTAGGTGGTTTATCTAGAAATCTAAGCTCATCAAGAAATAAATGATGTCTTGTTTGCTTGGATGTTCTGGTTTGAGTGGGTTTTTGTTTTTGTTGTTTGCTTCCTTATTTTCAAGTCAGAATCTTGCTTTGTGACTCAAGCGTCCTAGATACAATCTGTGCAGCTTGGGTTAGCCTAAACTCATTCTGCTTCTGCCTCAGCCTTCTCAGTGATGGAGTCACAGGCAAGCACTGCAGTCGGATTTTATTTGGGCAGCCCGATCACAAATAATGACATAATACTTCTTATTAATTATCAAAGCTCAGGTATAGCTTAGGCTTATTCCTAACTAGCTCTTATTATGTAAATCAATCCATTTTATTAATCTATGTTCTATCATGTGTTGCTTCCTCTCTTCCATCTTGCACCTCCTGTTTCTTCTCCATATTCCTGGTGTCTTCTGCATGCACGCCTTGATTCCTCCTATACCTCCTGCTTAGCTATGGGATATTGAGCATTTTATTACACTAATCATAGCAAATACATCTTCAAACAGCATGCAAATATCCCACAACAATGCACCACCATGCTTGGCTCAGAAACTATGTCCTCTGATTGTCTTAATTAGTGGCGAAGATGGTAAAAATTCAATGAACACGATTTTGATATATTTTAACATAAGAGGATGGTACTTATGAAACTCCTGATTGTTTTTTTTGTTTTATTCTTTGATAGGTTCATATGCGTATATAATGAATAATTTTAGTTATTTTCAGTTCTCATGCCCTCTCTCATCCCTCTCCCTTCTCCCATTGAAACTTTCCCAACAAGTCTCTTTTGTATTTTCGTGTGTGTGTGTGTATGTGTGTGTATGTGTGTGAGTGTGTGCACGTGTATGTGTGTGTGCATGTGTATGTGTAACTCACTGGGCATAAAGTTTAATTATGGTTGACACATGAGCATGGGTTGGGGTTATTTATTGATGCATGGGCAACTTATCAGTGTTATACCATTAAGGAAAAATGATACTAGTTCCCTAAGCAACCACTAGTGAAGGGATGAGACCTCATGATCTCCTTTCATTCATGGTAAAATGAGGACTGGCCAAGTCTTGTTCAGGTCTTGTTCAGGTAACCACAGTGGCAGTGAATTCCTGAGTGTAATGTAGATGTGATATCTTTTACCATTTAAAATTTTATTTGTTGCAAAATTTATATAATTTTAAACCCTCCCTTAATTCCTCTCCAATGCCTTCTGTGTTCCTGCTCCACTCTGACGCAAACATGCAGGAATAAGGGTCCCGAACTGTGAGGAATTGAAGGGGAGGATCAGGGATGAGAATTAAGAAGAGGGAAAGCTGGAATCAAGAGGTCTGCATGAACAGATGACTCCTACTTGAAAGCTGAGGAAGAAGCACAGCATCTTCCACACTGTCTGCAGGGGGAAAGGGACAGAGTCAGCTGAAAGCTACCATGCCATGGGGTGGAGTCAGCAGGAAACTAATCAAGCAATATTGCACAAAGGGATCACAGGGTTTCTCATGTGTCATTGACCAATCACACAGTGACCTGGGGACTGATAGCAACAGCCTTTTAGTTGGGGGAGGAGTCAGGTTCCTAGGTACCAAAAACCTTAACTCTTTCAAGGCCCTGGCCCTGGCTCCATACTACAACTTGTCAAGTATACTCGTGGGCAGGAGTGCAGAACTATGCTCCTTTTGCCTTTTCATCTAGGCCTCTGAGAAAGCTTTAGATTGGTCTAGTCCTCAACAACACTCCCACTCAAACTTATAATTCTTTTATAATTGTTATTGTTTTACACATACACATGCGCACGCACACACGTGCGCGCGCGCACACACACACACACACACACAGAGAGAGAGAGAGAGAGAGAGAGAGAGAGAGAGAGAGAGAGAGAGAGAGAATTCACTTAGTTTTGCTCATTTCTACATGATTTTATGGTTGACCAGAGAGAGAGAGAGAGAGAATTCACTTAGTTTTGCTCATTTCTACATGATTTTATGGTTGACCAGAGGGGCTTGTTCTTGAAGAAGACTGATCTCCCGTTTTCAACAGCCATTGATGGCCTATAGCTCTTCATCTAATGGTGGAACCTTGTGAAATTTCCTCATATGCATTGGCATGAAGATTTATCAGTATGCAGTCTTGTTTAGATAACTATATTGTCGTATATGCCAGTTTTCCTGGCATATCTACATAAGCTACACTATATTGCAGCATGTGTCCTCGTCTTCTGGATTTTACAATTGTTCTGTTCCTCTTCAGGGGATTCCCTGAGCCTTAGGTGTAGGGGTTGTGTTATAGACAAGGAACTCTTTGGTGTGGTTATACATATACATTATTCCATCCTCCTGTTCTTAAACTCTTTCTGCCCACTCTTCCATGATGTCCCTTGAGTGTTGGAGGGGGTAATATAAAATTAGGTCAAAAATTTTACCCTCACTTTTTGGATTCTTTTTACTTTTTCACAGTAATTTTTTTTAGTAAGCATGATTTTTTTTTTGTTAAGGATATAGTAATTTTTGTTTCATTTTTTTTTTACCATAGCATCTACAGTAGAGTAATAGAAATCTTAAAAACAAAGTTGACTGACATTTTGAGAGCTCCTGGGAGAGGGGGAGTCCATTTCCTTTAATGGTGTGATTGCTGGTAGGTATACCACACTCAAAAGTAGTGGGGCAGCACAAATTGGCATTGATGGTTTAAAATAAGCAAACAAACAAAAACAAATAAACAACAAAAACAGAAGAAGACTCAAAGGTGGTTTAGAGGGAGGAGTTGGGAACGGTATTGTGATTATGATCAAAACAAACCGTTTGCATGAAATTCCTAAAGAATTATTGATCTTTAAAGGAACATAGTTAACTGCATGATAAACAGATTTTTAAATTAATCTCCTTAATTACCAAGATTTGGACTAATCTAGAGATTGCCTGTGCTGTTGCTTCTCGGATTTCATAGGCACCGAAAACATTTTGTTTTACTGTTAGTGCTCGAAGTCACTTGGGGTTAGGCAGAGCATTCGGGCATTAACCTCAGGAATTTGTGTGTGTCCTCGTGCAGCACCTGTTCTTCCCGGAGCTTACCAGCAGAGTCACTCCCAAGGCTATGGGTACATGCACCAGACCAGCGTGTCATCCATGAGGTCCATGCAGCATTCACCCAACCTAGTAAGTGCTGATGTCAATCCATCCTGCTTGGTGACAGAGTGAGGAGAGCTTGGTGACAGAGTGAGGAGAGCTTGGTGACAGAGTGAGCAGAGCTTGGTGGCAGAGTGCTTGTCTAGAATGTAAGGTTCTGAGCTCAACCCCCAGCATTGGAAAAAAAAAAACCTGACACATTGCTATCTGTGTAGGTCACAGATAATAAACACTGCACCAAGCAATAAAACAAACAAGACGTCTAGCAGCAAGGATCCTTTTTATGTTGCTTTTATGTTGTGGTGATGAAACACCGTGACCGAATGCAACTTAGAGAGGGGTGAGCTTATCTGGGCTTGGGCTCCAGAGGGATGAGAACCCATGCTCAGAACAAGGAGGCATGGTGGCCAGAGCACAAAGTTAAGACATCACATGTCAACTGTAAGAACAAAGCAGAAAAGTAATCTGGAACTAGGGCAAGTCTATATTCTCTTAATATCAACTTTCAGTGACATATTTTCTCTAGCATGGACATATATCTTAAATTTTTCCATGACTGGAGATCAAATATTTAAATACCTTAGCCTATGGAAAACATTTCTCATTCAAACCACCCCAGCGTCCCAATTTTTACTTCATGATTGGAAAGACCTGGGTATACTCTTCATCCAGGCCTAAGGAGGTACAGGTATGCCATAGTCAGGTTAAAGAGTTAAACTTCATGTTCATCACAATGGCCTCAGAAGTTGAATGGACATAGGCAAAATAGCTGACGGAAATTTAAATGTTTTTAACACAAAGGAATAGTAAGTAGACATCTCAGTTACTCTGACGAACATAGTATCCAGGTATTGAGATGACATGCTATACTCCCAAATCTGTTCAATTATCACATGCAATTACTGCATTTTAATTGAAAGTCTATGAGTGACAGTATCCTTACAACACCCCTATTAGCATTCGGTTGAGATTCAGAAGGATGATTGCTTTGTGGTCTTATTCGGTGCTTCATGCTGAAGTTGCATCTCCCAATACTTAGAAGCAGGTGATGTTCTATAAGGTAGTCAAGTGCTTTCAGGTCCTTTGTGTGCCTGCCATGTTCCTCAGTCTCTTTAATCCATGAATATTTTTGCCTTTGAGATATACTGACTATTAATATTAGATGAACTATTAGTCTTGAACTAAAACAAAGAGAAAAACACACTTTAAAAATTTTCACTTTAACAACATGTTCGTTATATGTACATCAAAAATCAGAACATTCTACAGGAAATTTATGGCACTGTGATCTGAAACATGTAAAGTTTAAGTAAATTATTTCTTTTATATATTCTTAAGAGGGAACAAAAATTTTTAGTACTTATTTCGGAAAAGTTCATTTTCTATACAAGGGGGAGACATTGACAGAAATCCAGTGGACTATGGGCTTGCTGTCAAGTGGGGGAAGGGGCTAATCTTCTGAAGAACGAGGGATGGGGGAAAAATCTACATTTCTAAGGCTTCTGGGATTTTTCTCTTTGTTGGACCCAATGTTATTCTTTCGAAGAATATTTTTAGGCAAGCACACTATTTTAATTATTGTATTTCATCGTTGTCTTTTAAGGTTGAATTATTGTGTCACCTTTTGGGATTGTTGCTTTGATCTTAGATCTGTCTTCTCTAGATGAACAAACTTGAGATTTCTAGTATTAAGTGGCACCTGTGGCTTGCAACTGCCCAGAGGTAGCAATGCCTATAAGCCTTCATACTCATCATGGTGTGGTGGTTTTTTGGCAACCAGATTTGTACCTGTGACTGCAATACCCAATCACTTCTTCTTTTCTCAGAGGACCTACCGAGCCATGTACGACTACAGTGCCCAGGATGAAGATGAGGTCTCCTTCCGAGATGGTGACTACATTGTCAACGTGCAACCAATTGATGATGGCTGGATGTATGGCACTGTGCAGAGAACCGGGAGAACGGGCATGCTCCCGGCAAATTATATTGAGTTTGTGAATTAATTCTTCCTCCTCGCCCTTTGAGCTTTATTCTGATGTATTCTAAACCCAATCTTTTTAAAAGATAGAAGATACTTTTCAGATAAATTGGCAATTATTTTACAATAATGTATCCTTACTTTGACAATTAGACATACAGGTACCAGGAGGAAGGAATGACTTTTGGGCTGGAAACAGCAGCATCCGTAGTAATTCCTGTAAAGGAAACCATTAGGTCTGGAGACCTGGTGCTGCTAATTGTGTTTGTGGTTTCATTTAGTTGGCTATTCAACCCTTCTGGGAAATGTATTTTTGTAGACTTTAATAGAGATGTTGAATGTCCCTTACATGTAACAAGTGTATGAAACTTCTTAGCTGTCACCTGGAATCATCTGAAGCCAATTCTCATAGTCCAGCAACACAGCCAATAATTTAAAAATTGTTCAGCTTTTGAATCATTGGGTAATTTTCAATTCAAGTGAGAATTGCCTAATATAATAAATGGGAGCAGTGGCAGAATGAGTCTGGTTAAAATCATATTGACCGTAGCCTTTGGGAGCAGGCAGGAAACTTGCCCTTTCCCTAGGCTCCCCAAGATCTAGTTATTTCTCATTGTTTCAGGGTATAGCCTATATTTCTCAGTGTTTCTTGGTATTTCACATGCGTTTCACGGCGCAGCCAATCTCCATTTACATTCTGTGGGGCAGAGCACATGCTTAGGTCCCCAGACCATCAGGACCGGTAACTTCACAGCTACTCTGCAAAGGGCAAAGTTCAATGTCATCTGTATTATTTCCCTAGTAGCCTCTATCCTGTTGCATGTCTAGTGGGCTTAAGCTTCTGTAACAGGGCAGCTGCTTGCCCATCCTTGTTATAAAAGTCAGCAGTGTGGCTGATCTTGCCCTGCCCTTTCTTATAGTTGCCAGCTCATATGAAAACATTTTGAAAAGTTGCATGAGACTTTCTTGCTGTATTACACTCTAGCTTTGAAAGACTCATGCCTGAGGAAATACACATATATTCTAGTAAATAGAAGACTTATGTATTTACTGGATAGCTTTCGCTCACTTAATGCTACTACCATCGATTTAAAAGCGCAATGAATTGGACAGCATTCTGCGTAAGGGGAAATGGACTATACAGTATAGCGGAGGGAAAACGAAATACAAAACAGTAAGTAGAAGTTTGCGCCACAATTCAACGATTTGGTCTTATATTTTGACAATTGGTCTTCATACTCTGGGATGGAAATATAGCCACTAAGTATGTCTATAAAAAGGATTCTTTTCCCAACCTTGGTTCTCATTTTCTAAATCACATTCAGGATTAGATAAGAAAATCATCGGAGATTTTTTTTTTTTTTTTTTTGGTGCAACCAACAGATGATTCACTAAGAAAGAAATAGATGTCTTGTTTTGAGTGTTCAGGGTTTGTATAAGTCACAGCCCCAAGTAGAACCATTACTATTGTATCTTAAATTTGCTCTGCAGTCTGCAGTCAAAGTTAGTGGATGTCGGTGTTTATCAAACTCTGTTTTTCTCATGGTGCCTCCTACTGTGACTTGAAACAGTGTGGCATTCATTTGAGATGTGAAACAGGAGAGATCAGTCACAAAATTGTGAGAAGATACTGGGATTGTGGGACTATCCACCCAATGTGTTCAAGGAAACTAACAAAGCACCCACCAGTGAAAAACATTTGAATGAAGTGTTTATGAGGCCAAACTCAAAGCTGATTTATTGAAAACTTTGAAAGTGAGTCCATACTTTTGAAAATCAGTAGTTTCATTAGATTTGCCTTAAAGAAAAGTTTTATTACACTGAGCTGTGTTTCTGTGATACCGATAGAATATTAAAAAGAAAAAAATAACTGAGATTTTTCTGGAAAGGGTTCTTATAGCTTTGTAAATAAAGAGCTGAGCTAACTTTCTGTCATTTGAATAGCCAGTCATAATTAACCTTCCTAACTGTTTTCATGTCTTGAACACACACCTAAAAAACCAAACTGCACCTGCAATAATTTTACAAACATCTTGAAACTAATAGCAAGAGTGATAAGCTGGCTCATTTCTGTTATGTGTCTTTATGTTCCCCCAAGCAGACCATTTGTGTGTGTTTGTGATAATTAAAAAAAAAGAGTCGTTGTTGATTAAAACTTCAGGCTAAATGAAGGAAAGGTATGATTTTTGATAATTGTGTGCAGGAAGCTCAACCGAAGCTGACTTTGAAATGATGCTGGACATCAGCTAGTCTCCACAAGGTAGCAACTCAATGGCCCACGTTTTTGGCACTCATTAATTTCAAAGTCAGATTTGATGAATGTCAAAGTTAGTCCATATTTTGGAAATAAGTGTCCTAAATGTTGAGCTTTACATAATGTTTGCATAGCAAGATTTTTCTATTTTAAGTCTTTCTGAATTAAGATCTGATCTGGACTCAATAAGGGGCAGTTATTCTCAATACAGACTGAGGCAGAACCAGACAACGCATGCTCTTGATAGTTGTGACACTGTTACCAGCACATGTAAGGATGTTACCCACCTCGTCAGAAAAGAGGAGCCCAGATGTGTCATATCCAGATGCCATCTTTTTCAGCATCATTAGAAAACGCTATATTTTTTAATACACTTTCCACATGCCTCCCTCCCCCTTGCAGTTTGGCAGCCAGTATCTCACGTGTCACACTGACAGCTAAAGATGAATTTAAAAACAAGCCCTTTAGAAATCAACCTAAGGGAAACTAAATGCCAAGCACAGCAAGCGTGCACCTGTTCCTAAATGCGGTGCTTTCTCAGGCCTGACAGACGCACAGGAAGATGCTTGAGACGCTTCTCAAGGACTCTGGAGACAAATGTATTTGGTTCATGTTCCTCTTGAGAAAAGTTTAACAACAGAATATAATGCTTTTGCTGTAAGCTTTTGTAGTAGATTTGAAAAAACTTTCTTTTTCTCCAGAGAGCTTACTATTTCTAACCTGTGACAAAATGAATACTTCACGTCCTCATTGTGTTCCTACGTGTGCAGCAAACCCAGTTTGGAACTTCGATCTGGTTGTCCTTCTTCATGGAGCCCCTGCATCTTCCCATGTATCTCAGTCTCCACAGAGCACCTAGGAATGTCTAAGCACAATTTGCCCAAGCACCCTGTGTGGGGATGGGTGAGATTAGGACAGTCCCTCTCTCACCAAGGCCCTTTGTTTCAAGATGATGATGTCATTTGGCCAGTTTTACTAAAGTCTTTCATTCCAGGTCTTCTCTGTTCTGAGGTTCATAGCACTTCAGGAATGCTGGGAAAACCTTTTCCACAAGTGACACACCCAGTGTTCAGGTTCCTTCACCTCTAGTGGAATGCTTTCAGTGAAATTATAAAGAATATAAGTGTGTTCTTTAATAATGCAGCCCTATATACAGTGGATATAGTTTATACTAATGTTCTAATATAGATATATACAAAATAGGTGCCTTTTGATTATTCTTGTTTATCATTATGGTTTTGGAAAGGAAACCAAGCAAGTAAGCTTCTGCATATTCTATAACAATATTTTATGATACATGATTGCTATTTTTGTGGTGAGAAGTGGGATGCACCTAACTGAAAGATGTTACAGGTTGTATTTTCCTTCTTAAGGTTTAGAATTTTAGAAAATACCGACTTCTTCCATTTTCTGAAAAGTTGGGTTTTTTCTTGTGGATTTATATATAGTTGAGAAATATAAGCATTAAGTTTAAGTTTGGGGTTTAAAATATTTATGGTGAGATAGATTAGTTATATTATGAGGCTGAATTCACTGCATATGATGAGCTTTATGACTTGATCTTGTGTTAACTGTCTCTGATAATCTGAATGTGGCTGCATTGCACTTGTATGGGGTAATACAACGTAATGAGAACGCATTAGTTGAGTAGGAAGCTATGTAAACTAACTTAAGATGCTAAAATGAAAAACTTTCTGAAGAATTCCATGCCTCTTAGGGCCCTTTTTCAGGCAAGTAGCTGTTAATAACGGATGACCAAAAGAGTCAAGACATTGTGGGTATATTCTGTGGTCATCATTCCAGGACACATAAGATGCTAGACTCCTCAGGCTTCCCTGGGCAAATGTCCTTCCCAACTGTCCGCGACTTCAGTCTATCCCCAGGACTCCACATGCTTACTGTGTCTGATGTATGGTATCCTGTCTGCATAGCAACACATCACTGTTGTCAATTATTGTTAAAGATGGTTTCCTTTAAAGGAGAGAGAGAAAGCTGCAATGCAGCCACCTTCCTTTGTGTCCATACAGTGGATTGCTAAGCATTTTGGAAGTAGCAATAAGCGTGTAACAGGCATGATATTTGTGGAACTGTTGACTTTTGACCTGTGATAAAAACACAAATTGGAATGGTGTACTTTGGATTCTGTTTGCTTTGAAATATGTACAATTGTGGTTGGTGATTAATTTGTAAAACTGTACTAATTTTAAGAACATAATGATTTTGAAAGAGGCAGTAAATGATTTTTCATTGGAAGGGGATCACAGAATGATATAAGGTTATTAGTATAATTTGGCTTTTGTTATGCAAATTGTTAACACCAGCTATTAAAATATATTTTAGTAGAAATGCTTTAATTCATGTTTTTTTTCCTCTACACTGTGACTCTTTAAGCCTTGGTGGACCAGAGGCACATTGTGATGTGCAAAGGACTAACCTATGCAAATGAGTTCCCTTCCTATTGCTGTCACACTAAGCATGTGCTAAGAAATGATTTCTCCTCATAATGTACAGCAGTATTGAAATAGCACAGAAAGCCTGGCCTCCCATGCATTACACTGTAGTCCCTCACAGCCCTTCAAGGCCACCAAAACCATTAGCATTTGTGGAAATCAGATTGTTATCTATTGGAACTACTTGAATGACGCCAGGAGGAAAATGACAGACATGCATCTTGGCTGTGGCTTTCATAGAACTATGTTCTCACATATTCTCTCTTCAGGGTCTTGGTATTCTGTGTCTACTACATGTGTTTGTAAAGGATTTATGATGCATTAATTTCCTATCAACACATTTGGTTTGCTTAAATAAATACAGAATGTAACAAAAGTGTTTGACTTCTTGGTTGTCACCATGGTTTCTTTGGAGCACAGGTCATTGGGTGCAGGTTGAGTTCCTCGTGATGACTCTCATCCAGTCACAGGATAGATGTGTGATGGCAAATAGTGCATTTATTTTTGAAAAGCTGTGCAGAGTGTGGTTCCCCAAACCAATACAGTTTTAAATAATAATAATATGCTTTTTAAACCCACAGTCTTTCTGATTTTACACCAAAGTATTGCTGCAATGCATCTTGTTAGTTAACTTTTTTCAAAACTAAAATCTTCACTGGTCTAGTGTTGGTTTTCATGTGTCTGTAAGAAGGAAATGACTTGGAGGAGGGAAAGAGCACAGATGATACTCTGATTTTTCATCTAGGAATGACTATCATAGATCATAATTACTTCCATTCTCAGAATGGAAAAGTTAGCTAAGCTCCTATTTTTACTCTCATCTACATTTCAGTAAATTGGATCTTGGCTTTATTGTTTGCTTTTGTAAATGTCTCTAACATAGTGCTTCCAAACTGTGGACTGATAAATCTTGTAGACGGACAAGTTTAAAACAGGTCAATCAAGAAGCTTTGCAAATGGCATTTGCTCATAGAATAAACACTTCTACCAAATCTTGAATGTTCTATTTTTCACATTCTATAAGTATGAATCGAATATCTGTGGTATTATGAATCAAACATATTCAAGTTATTTGAAATTATAAAATAAATAACCCAGGTATCTGTTTACTTGAAGAATTTACTGTCCATCCTTCCTCCAAGACTATTTTATTTCATGATTATAATTATACTCTTTGAAATCTGGGCCACAGAGGAGATGAATAACTGTCCTAGAATAATTTAGGTTCCAAATGAATTATGCTTATAATTTTATTATTCTAATTTTAAAAATTGTGAAGTTAATTGAAATTAATTGAATAATTGAGATGTAGCAGAGTTCCAAATACTTTCCAAAACAAATTTCTACAAAAATATTCAGATATAATATACTGGAAAGTAGACAAAAGGAAAATTTTATTATTATTTTTTGTAATCTGCTTCTGCTCTACACACGGAGTTTTGTGATGGCAGAACACTGGATCAAGTCCAAGGGTGAGCTTCAACATTTTTTCTGTAGTTCTAAGCAGAATTCTTTGGCCTTTGTCTACTGCATTTTTATCTGTGAGCAGTAGAATTCTGATGAAAAGGGGAAAAGGAGAGAATGGGCTCAAAGACTGAAAGTCAATATCAGAACGAAGGCCCGGTTGCTGATTTGGGTTTATACAATGGAGTTTGATCTTTGAAGCTTTTTAGTAGTCTAATATA